AGCAGTCGATAGATCGCAGAAGCCCACAGCACGCGTCCCCATGTCCGTCGAAGGTCATCCCGGCCAGACAGCCACGTAACCCGAGTCGGATGGGCGGGGGGAGCAGGTGTCCTTTCCGACAGGAGGGGAGGGGGAGGGGCGGGCGGCTATCAGCTAGCGGCAGAACCGGCAGTCATCGTCCCCGGGACGGAGCCCAAACGGCATCCGATAGCTGCAGCTGCATGCCACTCATTGAGACGAGTGCTTGTAGATAATTCCAACTGATACTACCAAGATACTCCCCTTGTCATAGCTGAATGAGTGAAATTACTATCGTTGATACCCAAACACATGATCATGCGTCGAACATGGCGCAAATACTTCGCCGCTTCCTCTTCGCATATTCACTAATATGTAGTTAAAATATTGCATATGACATCAAATTTACCCAACCTCTAGCGTAATCAAAGTTCTATCCGACTTTTTCCAACACGAGCACAGCACACACACACACACGCACACATTGGCTGGAGGACGACGACGGCGCCACTGACCGGAGGGTGACGCGCTGCCGGTGGAGCTCGCTCGACCGAGGGTGGGCAGGCCGGCGGTCGCGGCCGTTCCACCGCCGCCCGTCTGCTGTCCGTGGTTCGGCCCGTGAGAGCCGGCACCGGCCGCAGGAGCCGTCTTGGCGGCAGCGGCGGCCGGCTTCCTTGACGGGAGGTTGGTGTAGAACCGGAGCGCCGAGCTGAGAGGGATGCACGACGGCTGCTGCCGCTCCTGCTGCTCCTCGCTGAACGGGTCATAGTCTGCGGGAACAGATCGAGTGGCGGGGTTACTATAGCCACCGCCTGAATGAGCTTCCCAGATCGAGCCTCTGACGGAGTCAAGAAGGGTTTCGTGAGTCTGTCAGTGTCACCTGGTTTTGTGAGTCTGTCAGTGTCACCTGGTTTTGTGAGTCTGTCAGTGTCACCTGGTTTTGTGAGTCTGTCAGTGTCACCTGGTTTTGTGAGTGTGTCAGTGTCACCTGGTTTTGTGAGTCTGTCAGTGTCACCTGGTTTTGTGAGTCTGTCAGTGTCACCTGGTTTTGTGAGTCTGTCAGTGTCACCCGAGTTCATGGCTGATCGAGTCAAATAACTACTGGAGTCGAGAGTGACGGGGTTACCTCGGGCCCTCGGCTCCTGTTTGAACGGTTCCGCCAGACAGTGATGTGTAGGAAATTCATGTCACATTCACAGCCGTAGGGATTAGGAATCTGCTTTTTAGATAAATTAATTTGATCTATGTACTTGTACGAGAGGATCTTCATTGCCTAGGCTCAGTTCGCTGATGGGCTGTTACATACGTCATGACCTCTACCGTCCGATCGGGAAATTGCAGACGTGGAGTTTACGAGTCGAGCGTTTATCGAGTCAAGTCCACATAGCCGGACACAGGCCATCCTGTTCACACGTTTCCTCTATCCTGTACTGCGTCCAATGCCAGACTGCAAACTATCCTTGTCAGGAGCAAATATCAAGCCCCTCAGTGGCTTGATTTGAACTCTCACCATGGCACCACCTTATGACATCAGGAGAAACCCTCCCACTGCACTACTAGGGAAGATGGACAGTGCTGAACACTGTCCAGTTTTTTCAGAAGGGCTAACAACAGACCATGATCCTGCTTAAAAGCTTAAAATTGGGACCACTCAGGAGATAACACATAGGACAGGAAAAAAGGCTTTCTTTAGAGTTATATGCATATAATTGTGCATGACAACACAATGCACATTCTGAGCTTTTGTGTGTGTACTGTGAATCATGTAACATTGAACAAACCACAGGCAATGACCGATTGCACATAAAAAGCAAATAGCATTTATGTGCTATCTTGTTGCTCAAATCCATAACACAAAATGCAATTAAATGCTAAGTGCTATAGCAAATGGACAACACAAACCTCATACAGTTTGCTTCTCCTGTCACACAGGAGAAGCACATTCTGAGAAGCACCAGACTTGGCCTGTTGCTTCTCCTGTGCTATACATAAAAATATAGGAGGGATTCCAGACAGAGGGAATTCATTCCCCTTGCAGACCTATCATAACTATACACTATTTGTGTAAAAATGAAAGTATCCAGCAAAAGGTGTGCAAGTTTCAATGTCAATGACTGTTATGCCCACACTGCATGTGGAAGGCTTGTGATGTCAATGCATGCATACATATAAATACATTCATACGTACATAATTACATATATACATAATATACACCCATGCATGCGTACAATGACTGATAAACCTTGATCTTTAACTATAATAACCAGGAATATGGATGAAATGATCACAATGGGATCAACATGGATGTAATAAGTCACAATGGGAAAAAGCCAGGACTTATAAGCAGCTTCAGTTTAAATCAATAGATTATTTGCCACTTATGCATCAGACTTTCTGAAGAAGTCAAAGTTCTTTTGAAGTTGTTTTGTCAAATCCACGTTGCAGAAAACGCAAACATAAGAAAGTAATTTTGCTCAATCCAAATAACTTGAAATGAGACATTAACAAACTATTATGATTTATGAGCCTTGCGGTAAGGTCGGTAAGGAATAATTGGGCTGCACTTCCCACTACTAGCAAATTATTTGGATCCTTGCTACTTGAAAATTCAGCAAAAGACACATTTATCTTAAAAATAGATGTTCATTTATAAAACTTGCTTTATATTTTTGTATCTACTGAATTGAATTGAAAGTGGGCGTTGCAGCACGAGATTCGATATCGAGGCAATAATGGCGCATACGCCCCCCTCGAATATCGAGGAGCTTTTTTAGGACTTACCTATGTGTGTTTCCTCGATGTGTTGTATCAAATCACCCAGCGACGGATACGTAAGCCCGCAACCATTGAATTTGCAAACATTTACCAGGAAAACTGCCATAATCCACTCGGTTCGATATCGGTCTTCAGAATGCCCCTTAGCAACTGGCTCCGGTGCACAAGCTCATTTTGAATGCACTCACGGAAGTTATATACAATTTGAAGTGTACAGGAGTATATGACACTGGTGACTAGACGAACAACAATATTGCACAGAATTTAGCGATGAAAAGTAATTGCCAAAGTTCCCCTCCCTAGCGATCCGCCCGTCCCCCACGGAGATTTCCACTCCGTGTTGCCAACTCCGGAGTCCGGCGCAGGTCGTAAACCGTACCAACTACAGTACGATCGTACCCAAAAACTCGTGCCAGACGCGATATCGTACCAAAAATCAGTTTTCGAGCTTGGGGATGGAACGTAGCGTCGGAACTCGGAGGGGGCCTAGAAGGGGTCCGGACAGCGGAGCGATATATTGACTCGGTGCCAACACATGCAAGCGCATCATGGAACACACCGAGTAAAACGATTTGATAACGCTAGGGTGGAAATGCAGTTGTTGGCAAGGGCCAAGGGCCCACAAAAATGCATTCAATTAGGTATCAGGCGGGCGGCGGCAGCTCTGTCATGAAACGGAACATTAGCTATGTGAGCTTCAGCTTGGAAAGACGCGATCAGCTTCCCAATTTTTCCTTATGTTGATCGGTACAGTGGCTACCACTACACTGGGACGGTGGGAGCCCGCTCAATGGCAACACGAGCGGCGACCCGCCCACCGCCGTGGGTTCGCCCCTGGCTATTCCTGGTCGAAAGCACGTGCTTGTGCCGAGTATAGCCCACTGCACCCCTCCCCAGGCGATCACGTGGTACCCTGTACGCTCACTGACGTTTGCATTGCAACCGCCAATGTCAGGAGGAGCCAACCGCGAACAAGTTCACCCTGGGCCAAAAGGAGTCACTCAAATGTGATACCTTTCTAGGGGCCCTAAGCACAAACTGGGTCGGTTTCTCCTTAGTCTCAACCCGTCTGTGGATGCACTCTGACCGGGCTGGTATCAGCTGTTATCCTCGTTTGTCCGGCGTGTAGAATGGACCCAGCGCGAGTACGATCTGTACTCTGTACCGGCCCTGCGTGAGTTGGCGGCGCTCCCAGTTGCGTGAGCGACCACCCGTCAGCTATCCGATAATACACAGGCGCCGGCCAAACGTCATCGGCCACCCTGGAGGCGTGCCTGGCCAGGAATGTCGACAGGGGGGCAGGGGAGGGGGTTATGTCACAGCCAGAGACGAGGGGAGGGGGAGACGGGGTGTCGACTGTCGAGGCCGAGAGGACAGTCTGGGTAATGCAGCGGGGCTCGCCAAAGTACACACGAAAATCCAATCAATACCACGATTCCATTCTAAACGCACTGATCTCCGCTGCGACTCGTGAATTTGAATTGTGATGGCGTCTCCATTCCTCCATCCTTCATTCCTTCTATCGATCCCTCCACGATGACGAGAAGGCTCATCGTGTGCCCCGCCCTCCGATCATCCCCTCCCCGGGCCCGTCCCCCCCCCCTCCGTCTGGGGGCCGGGTTGGGTAGGGCTCGCCACGCGGCCGCGCGGGGCCTCATAACCGTCCCGTTATGAGGCCGCGCGGACGGCAGCCGGCCAGGAGCCGAGCGGCTTTGGACCGCGGCCCCGGGTCCACCCCGCTGGAGCCCCGCCGCAGCTCCTGGAAGCGTGAACTCACGTGACGGTGAGCAAAGGAAGGACAGTGGATCACGTGACATACCAAAATGGCACAAGATGCGCAAGACTGTAACTTATGCCCAAATGTCGTGTAAGTGAAAGTGTCGAAGCTGATTGTATTCCGCACTCCCCGTTATTGACTGACAGCTTTCCACGGACCCCGCGACCCGGCTTATGTTTCGGGCGTGCAGTCGGTCGGTTCCTAGATACCACGGCGAGGTGGGGCTCCGCCTAGTAACGGAAACCTGAGTAGACGGACGGACCAGCGCTGTATAATCCTTGTTGTATGACGTAACATGCTGTGCACGTTAGATTACACATCAAAGCTCTTGTATGCATGATACTATGACAGGCAACCGACAAATACCTACGATCTGGAATCGACCTACGATTATAATAAAAATGACGATTCAACGCAGTCGAAACACCATTTTGCTGGCATAAAATCGGTATATTTGAATCGAGTTGTGCTTCACAAGCACAGCCGACAAGTTATTGTATGTCAATCCAGCCACTATTGTCAAGACGCCGGCATTGAAATCGGCGTTGCCAGCCGAAAACCAGCAATTAAGGTTACGTGACCCGGGGATCAGTTTCTCGGGATTGCACAATACCACTGGGTTATCAAATGGACTTCCCTGATTCTTAAACAGGACAACAAGTCATCGAAGACTTTAAAAAGGCAATACGTGTCACAGATCACAATTTCGCCATGAATATAGGTCACACTGCAGTTATCCAGCGAATCACACAGCCTGGGCTTTAACACGCACAACAATACGAATAGAACATTGCCGTGGAAGCTATTTTGTACCGTAGTGTTTGACACATTTCAACGAGGCCCAGCCCTAGAACCTAGACTAAAAAAATCGCTTGTTGGCATGCTCTAACCTCAGTTATTTTCGGTGTACTCGTAACAAATACCTCCGAAAATGGTCACCCCGAGCTCAACACGCGGTTTTTATGGTAGCTTGGGACACGACATTGGTACACCGTCGGCAGCCTAGTGCCTGTGCTGAGCGCGGCTGTTACCAAGAGGAAATGATAGCCATAACCGGTTGTAAGGTATTGCGGCCACGACCAGTCAAGAAGTTCGTTATTGCTATATTTATATATTTCCCTGAATGCGTGATCTAATGGCGACAAAAGTTGCATTATTATAAATGAACCTACATGACTTATCCTATCCCAATCACTGACAAGGTGAAAAAGATGACATGCCACCAAAAGTACTAATACCAATAACTGCCTGAACCAATGTCCTTATGAGCATTGAGCATCACATTTTCAGTAACTAGATTCACCTAGATTCACTGGCCCTTGATAAAATGACGATCATGACAGTAACAGGTTTCCGAACTACAAGATCATCTACACCCTGCTAAGATTCATTCAATACCTGGACTTTCAACATACCAACAGGAAACACTCATTGCCATGAACGCAATTTTCCCCCAAGTCTCTGGCAATAACACCCTCATCATAATATTAATGGCTCTCACGCAAGATTCCCTGCACTCCCGCAAGATTCCCGGCCCTTTCGCCCGATTCCCACCCTCCTCTCACCCGTCCAGCGACCGCGCCACCCTCGTCTGGGGCATCTGCTAGGCGGTGACTGCCGTCATGCTCTGTATCAGCTCCACGTAGAGCTGGATGCCGCGCAGAAACACCTCTTCGTTGAGCCGCTCGTTGTGATCGTGTAGCAGTATCGGCGTGTGGTTCATCGGTGAAAAGCCGTAACACGGGATACCCAGCTGTGGAGAACAGGGAGAGGGAGGCACGTTTATCGGCTGACGGGCTGAGCACGGAAGAAACGGAGAGCCGTGCTGAAGTAAGACGTGGCACACGTCACGAGCAATAGGTCGCACGTTCCTTGTGAAGTGAGAAACACTGAGAGCAGTGGATCGTAGGTCAAAACTTGAGGAACAATAGGGAATGGAGAGTCGGGCAGAAGCTGGAAGTGAGAACACGGGAAGGGAGCGCCGAGAGTCACCGTCGTCACTCATGAACGTAAGGAAAACACGAGAAACGGAGAAACGGCGCTAAAAGTGAGGTGCGTACAGCCGTACACGTAAGGAGCACTGGGTTATACGGGCGTTACGTGATGATCTCGGATGAAGGGGCGACGAGTCGGTACTTACGGAGGCACGGAAAAATCAATTCATAACACATATCGCAGCCATAGGAAATGCTGATGACTGAGGCCAAAGGGCGTGATTTGCGGGGTAGCGTTGCGAGAGTCAGTGCCAACATTATGATTGACACGACTACCGGCAACTGAAGTTCAAACGTAAGGTCAAACGTCAAGGCTGTGCAACGCACACGCAGTGCTGTTTCCTGAGGTGTGGATCGGCGATGGATGTTGAACGAAGAAAATCAACACTAAACACAATCGAAACGGTAGAGTGAGAGAGGGGTACAGAGAGGAGAGAGGGGAGAGAAAGGGACAGAGAAGTAGGTACGGCTATCCTATATTAACTTACCCGTCGTATGAAGCGGCTGTCGGTGCCGGCCGGGAATATCTCCGGACACACCGGTACGTTCAGTTTGGTCAGTGCCGCCGTGAAGGCCGCCCACCACGGGTGACCGGGGCTGATGGGGCTCAGGTCGGGGTTGTCCTCCTTCTGTGTTAGCTGGTAGGTGACTCCCTCTCCGGCCTGTTTACACCATCCCTGCACCAGAGCCTCAAACTCGTCCGGAGGCGTCTTCTGGGCCACGCGGCAGTCGAAACAGGCGTGGAACTTGTCCGGCACAACGTTCTGCTGAACTCCACCCTAGATGGAAAAATAATCAATATGCTGAGCAAGCTGAGCGTGAAGTTAAGTCGTGCTGCGTGACAGCCTGGTGCTAAAATATACAGAAAGGAGCTGGATCTGCACTGATGGGCCAGGAACTGCACGCACTTTGTATGTGGATCGCTCTTAAATGTAAATACAAATACAAATACAAATACAAATACAGGAACTGCAAATGAGTACCGGCAACAGTAATTGTTATGAAAAGAAATGCTTAAAGACATAATACGTTTTGGTATCGTAGACAACCAAGACAACAATTAAGCCAGCGATCTGGTCAACTGATCTGACCATAATCACTCATGGTTATCAGTTATCACGTCACGAAGCAGTATCCCCACACAATATGGGTCACCCACACCACGGTATGCCCTCCCTCCCCCCTCACTCACTCGCACTGACCACACCACCCCTCGCCATGTGCCCACTCACACTGATGATGGTCAGGTTGACAGTGGTGACGTCCCCCAGCTTCCAGTCGGGGTGGGCGGCCAGCAGACGCTCCTGCTCGCCGCGGTACGTCAGAAACAGGTCGAGCACGCGGCGCAGCTTCTCACCAGCCGTGTTTGGCAGGAACTGGGAGCCGTGACCCGTGTGGCCCAGACAGGTCACCTCCACCTCTGCCGCAGGGACGGGCGGAGAGGTTAAAGGGAGGCTGAGAGGCCAGAGGGTGGGACGGGAGGTCAGATAAAGGGGGCAGAGGTCAGCAGGAGGTCAGTTGGACAGGTATGGAGGTCAGAGACAGTCACGTGGTATAAGGGAAACGAGCGGAAAAATACATGACACATAATGGCAAAACTGCACCTTAAAACGGCCGTTTGTTTTCGTCAAACGATAACACGTCGTAGCTTCCTTTCTGTGTCGTTTACATTCGTAGGTCCCCTCATAGAAATTCTGAGTTCCTTACGCATCCCCAAACCACCTCCAGATACCCCCGAACTTACTCCACGTGTGCCGCTCGCCGTAGAAGACGGTCATCTGTTCTCCGGGGTTGGCCATTCCCTCGTCCAGGGCGCAGGCCACGTTCAGGCGGGTCCACTCGTCCGTGGCCACAAACTCCTTCATACCGGTGACACCGCCAATCTCCTCATCTGAAGGTGGGGTCGCGGAAACGGCCAGAGGTCAGAAATGAGGTGAAGAGAGTGTCAAAGGTCAGATATAGTGCGGACTGCGGAGTGGGTAACATATCGAAATAGTGCGGGGGAGAGAGGTTTAATGAATATTACGAGGATGGTCAAGATCAGAACCAGTATGGCAAGAGTTGAAAGTAAACAAAAAGTGCACGTGGGTGATAAGAGTTGTTGTGGAGTACTCCCTTAGGTCTCAGACTCAAGACAAAAAGATATGATACATCTGAATAAAGCACGATCCCCACGACCATTTAAGTACCAATCAATTCAAATTTCGAGGTCCTCTGCTCACCACCATCAGCCGCGCTCACCGGGCACCATGGTGAGGTGGACGGTACGCCGCGGCTGGAACCCGCGAGCCTTCAGTACCCGGATCGCCTCCAGGTACTGCATGGTCACACTCTTCATGTCCTGGGTGCCGCGGGCGTAGATGTCGCCCTTGTCATCCTTGAAGGCGCTGAACGGCTCGTGGTCCCAGTATTCCTGGGGGAGGGGAGGAGAAACGGTTAGTTCTAGTACGGGAAGAGCATAATGCTGGGGGGGGGGGGGGGAGCGTAATACATGATGAATGAGACGGTCGTCCCCGTGGTGTATTTATCTATGCATATTTATCGACCAAGCTGCAGCCGGGGTCATTGGGGCCAAAGGGAGGACAATCCTGCCGAATCACACGGAGAGAGAGTGGAATAGAAGGTGAGTCCGCGCAACGCAGAAGACGATATCGAAGTAACTATTTGACTTAGAAGAAACGGATACGAACTAAAGGTTGTAGCGTGTACACCAGCGGCATTGATTCGCCGGAGTATGGTCACTTCAATAGCTGCTGATACACGAGTAAGTGGTAGTAAGGAGATACGTGTTTACATTAGTTTACAAGCCAAGTGCAGAACTATCCGAATCCGATAGGTTACACACAGCCGGCACTGTACTGTACTCGTATACTCAGAGACAATGACGTGACAGATTCGTAATACGCAGTACCATGTCAAATCATCTCATTGTTTCCAATGCGACATTGATTACGAGCGAGCGAGCGCAGCGAGCGAAGCGAAGTCTTTTCAATATAACGGAAAAATCTCAGTATGAGCGGCCCGGCCCGGCCCGGCCTGTAACGCTTTTGAGAGGCTTATATCTCAGCAACCGCTGGACCGATTAGCCTGCGGTCTTTTTTGCTGGGTAGCCCCAAATTTTGTCGACGTTAATAAAATCACAATTCTCGCACTCACTGAAACTAAATTGGACGACTCAATTAACCCGAACCTTTATACTATTGACAATTTTCATCCACCCATTACAAGACACAGAGACAGACACGGAGGAGGCACGGCAGTATACATTCACAGCTCACTTACATTTTCCAGAATTTCCTCACTCGAATTGCCTGGTGAAGAATGGATTTGGATAAAAATAAAAATAAAAGACTCTACATTTTTACTGTGCTCAATCTATCTCCCACCCAATATTCCAGCACATCGACAAGAAGAGTTTATAGACAGACTAACCGACAGTGTGACTCGTGCACATCTCTACTCCCCAAATGTATTATTGACAGGCGACTTAAATGTTGGCAACCTATTCCTCCCTCCAGATACCTATCAACATAGTGGACTGACAGCTTTCGACCGAAAATTAAGAGACGCAACTGACACCATTGGACTAACGCAACTCATCGACCAACCTACGCGTATTGAAAATGACACATACAACCTACGAGACCTCTTTTTTACATCCAATACTAAATTTATCATTGATAGCGGACTTCTCTCTTCATTTTCGACACTTGACCACTTTCCTGTATTTGTGACGCTATCAATCCAGGGAGAAAGGAATGATGACAAATATGTAACCGAGTACTGGGACTATGCAAATACAGACGCCGATAAATTAACACACATTTTACAACAAACAGACTGGACAACAATTCTTAACAAGGACACTGATGACGCAGCGACTGATTTTACTAACCGTATAATTGACGCAGCCAAAGAGTGCATACCGATAAAACAAAGCAAACGAAGACATGACAAACCTTGGGTGACACCAGAACTTTTGAAGGAAATTAGGAAACGTGAACGTTTATTTAATGCTGCCCGAAAACGAAAAACCGACAAACAAGCGTGGGCAAAATGGAAAACCCAACGCAACTTCGTGACAAATTTGAATAGACAACTTTACGACGAACATGTAAAAAATAAAGTATCACATCTACTTCAGAACAAACACGACCCTCACAAATATCATAAAATTTTAAGAGACATAACAGGTCATAAACAAAACCATTCCATACCGACACTCATACAACACGATGGCACAACAGCGACAACTGACACTGACAAAGCCACCATGCTGAATACATACTTTGCCTCACAAACACAACTTGACATCACAAACGCACACATTGCACAGCTTCAAACATACACAGCAAGAAACACTGAACCAGTACCCACTCTCAGCAGCATTGACATCACCCCTGGTGAAGTCCTTCGAACCCTGAACAGCTTAGACGCTAATAAAGCTTGTGGTTCAGACAGATTGCCTACGAAAAT